TCAGACTAAAAACAGGGTTGCACCTCCAGCTCAATATATAATTATCTATTAGCTTGTGCTTTGATATTGGGTTGATTCACAGCTTCATTGCAACAAAATTATTCTGGATCTGATATGACAATTTTTATATTGCTTCATAAAATTTCATGACATGAAACAACAAAATTAATTTCTTAATCACTGTCAGCCGTGTAATCAGTGCTCCAAGCCAGTTTGGGTCATCAGTCTGTTTCCCCAGATGGAAGTCTGGTTTTCAACAGCAAAATATGAACATTCACAGTGTGCAGAGTAGGTATAAATATAGGTTACATTTCTGTAGTTTTCGATTGCACCATTCACAAATTCTAAATGCTAAATCGAGCCATGCACTAAGGTCAACCGACCAGTTTTGTCTTCTTCTTTTTAAATGGACACACGTCAAACAGTGTGAAAACTAGTGGGTAGAATTAAAAGGCTTAAAGCTCTGCTTTTTGAGGCAACAGAATTATTTTAATTTCGCTCCTACTTGGAGAACAAAGGTGTGCTGTTTAGCTGTTTTAATGTCTAAAATAATTTACTGATTTTGAGTGAAATGCATTCACACCTGTAGACGACGACTATTTTTATCCTGTCATTCCAATTTTTAAGAAATCCAATTACAGTATATCACAGTTTTATTACTAGATCTGGTTTCATCCGTAACTGTGAAGGTAAAAGAATTCCCATCTTCGATCATCAGGATTGTCCTTCTTGGCGTACGATAGACGCATATCAATATTATGTATCTGCGCTGATGACATACTGACATTTCATAATATCTCCCAGTGTAAGAACAAGTCGTTGTTTTGAAAAGTATCGGCAGCAAGACTTTGGATTTGTAAGAAATAAAGATCTACGCACCGACGGCAATATTGAGGCGAAAATATACAACAAAAGAAAGAAATGACAGCTACCGTTGATAATAGCTAACAAACTAACCCATTGTAGGTGTTTAATAAGTTAATTCTACTTATAAAATTTTGGATTTTACTGAAATTTGAATCAATTAAGAAATGTATCAATGGTCGTTTTCCAACGCGTATATTTTTGCCTCCATGGGTACCATGCCGTCAGTGGTTCCGGTTTCATCAAGGTGCGTACAATTACAAATATTGTGATTATTTTTCATAATCTGTATTATTTAGGTATTGAATCGTTTTCTTCCAATGTATATGAGTTGAGATTCTGATTATGAACGGGTATTTTTCTAAGCATCCTTCGTGTCTTGTCACCTAAAAACCCGCGAGTTTTTAGCCCACGCCCCCACGCGTCACCCACGGCTACGCAACAATGTAAGTGTCGGAGGAGCTTGTCCAAACAAAATCATTATAAACTCGATAAATATGATAGTTACGTTTTACAAAGAGACAATAACAGATACCGAATCAGACCATGTAATTAATTCCAGCGAAAATAATTTGGATCTATCAAGAGGATGGCACTGTTTTTTCGGTATCACGATACGTCATGGAGTTGTTTGTCTACCGCCGTTGCCATGATCGTTCCTATTTCATACAATCGGTGATGTAACATTGAGATTGTTTTTATTTATAACTAAGATTAAGCCGAAAGTTACTATTTTTTAGAAAATGTGAAACTTCTAGTTTTTCTCCTTCGCAAAGAACAGAAATTATTGATCAAATTATGAAAAAATGGTTCATTATGAGAGAAAATATTAGACTGGGCACCACTCGAAGCGTGATGTGCACGAGAGTTAACAATAGCCGTTATTTGTGGCTGTGTGCGTAGAAATTTGGCGAACAACTTGACAACGCAATATACATTTTACACGCCTTTCTGAACACTGATAGATGTACCAAAAGGTGCTTGTTAGTCGACTTCTTATCAGAAGCAACCAGGTAAAAGCGTGAGGTGGAATCCCATCGGAATACCGTTATTAAGAAATATCGCTGTGTTATAGTCTGATTATATGATGTTTCTATTTCTACATCCGTGGGTTATACGATGACTGAGATTGTTTTGGATCCACTATTTCTTAACTGATAAATAGGTCTATTGACCCGTCGTGTTAAAAATACGCATCATTGTAAGCCGTAAATAAATCCCTTTTTGATAAATTGTCTTAATGAAAACAAAGCTATTTAGGTAAATGTGTATATACAATCTTTTTGCACTTTAGTATACTAGTTACATACCACCGCCATATAGCTGGAATGTTGCTGGAGTGCGGCGTAAAACCAAACTCACTCACTCTCATACTTTATAATGCAGCAAATACGTGCACATAACATTGATGTTCCATGCATATTCTAAGAAACAGCAACGACCATTCAGTTAACTAAATTGCGTACAATCACAAAATTACAACTCTTTTTTATGTTGGATGGTACAGACCTTTACAGGTTTATTTAGTCATCATCCACTTGCCCGTTTTCTTACAGGCATAAATAGTGATAACTTCTTTGGCATTTTAGAAGTTGGGTATTACAATGGAACCAGACTTTTATGGATTACAACTTCTTTATTTCGTGGAGAGCGACGTTTCGATACAGATCATTTCCTGCTTTACAGCAGCATTACAAGAATCTGTATCGAAACGTCCTTCTCATAATATATAAATAAGTTGTAATCCATAAAGTTGACAATAGTTCCACTTGGCGTTTCTGGGGTTAATTACTTATACATTCAAGAGTTTGAATAGAACGATTGAATGAATGAATGAATGAATGAATGAATGAATTACGTGTCACCCTAAAAATTACAACCATGACGGTATATCTTTCTAAATCTAAGGGGACTGTATTCCAGCTCTCCATGGGGCTTGGATGGGCTGAACGTAGAGCTGTACAACCAGTGTTAAAAATATATATGTGCCAACAGAATCTTTTCTCTGGATATTTTCTAAGAAGTAACCATATATGTTAACTGGCAGATGTGTAACTGGTGAAAAACAAACATAACCCCATCTCATCTTCTGTTGGCGCCAATTCATGCATAAGAACGGTTTATAGCCTCTTTGAGATTCACTTGTACCGTTTTATTCACAGTACAAGTATCTTTGGTATATTTTTTTTTTATGTAGTTATACCCAGTCAGTGCTACCTTGTGATATATCTGTATTTGTGGTCCAATATATTTTGTGAGGTGGAATTTGGATTTAGAAATGAATGTCTAGAATGCTATCTCAAAGTCTGAAAGATTTTATGATTGAAAAGATGTGACATGTACTTTTTGGAAAATAATTATAATAATGCAAAAAACTAGACATATTGACTACCTATACCTAAGTTGCTCAAAAACATGGCAAAGTGAAACTGAATTAATTATCCTAACTAAGCAGTATTCTTATATCTTGGATACGGTTTGAGATATTCCAGAACTGATCATCGGAAGATATTTGGTAACTGTTTACTTCCATTCCTTCAGATTTTTCTTTGGCTTCATTTAAACAATTCTGTGACTTAGTACTTGCAACTTTTTAGCCCAGAAACGTGCAGGGTATCTTGTAGCTTGTCATTAAGCATCGTTGGAACCACTGGCACTTTTTAATGAGGATATTTTTCTCAAAAGATACAGGGAGGTCGACATATATGAAATAAGCAGGGGGTGGGACTTAGTTGTAGATGCCTTGGGATTATGGAACAACATCTTCAAGGAAAGTCCGTATAAACAGGTTCAAACTGTCAAGAAACACAGCTTTTCGTTCAAGTGCACTGAAGTATTTTGGTGAGTTGGTTGAAAATACATCGTCACCAAGGAATAAGAAACACTTATAAAGGAAACACACGTTGATATCTTCTCTGTTGTAATTGCCACATCCTACGCTGAATTTGGTTGTTGTCAGTCGTTGTTGGTGGCGGTGGTGGTGTTCTATCACCTGGAAAGCAAATAACGAAAAGTATACAGAGTCAATCTGACCAATATAACAAACAATATATTATCGTAATGGTAGGGATGGCCTTGTTGTTAAATTGTTCGCTTATCACGCCTACGTCTGGTTTGGATCCGTAAAATGTTCACATAGTGCTAGGGCGCATTGTTGTTGTTGCTATTGTTGTTGCTGCTGTTGTTATTGTTGTTGTTGACTAACTAAATTACACTGTATCCATTCCCTTGTTTAAAAGTCTTGTTAAAGTCGAAATGCATTGTTTGCAGCACTTCTCTGTGCGTATGTGTAACCGGAGTGGTTTGGTATATACCACAAAGGCAAATAGTTTTGTAGATGTCAGTTTAATGGCAATAACTGAAGAAGGCCCTGTAAAAGAATAAATACATTGCATCAAAATACGTTACAATAATTTTCATGGGCCAATACATGTGAGGCTTAGCAATAAGTACTGCAATCATATATAATCAATATAATCACTATTCATTAATCAGGTCTCAGAGTAAACATGTGTATATGTATATAATGTTTATATTTCAAGATACACGTGTAGCATCATACAAGTACATAACATGATTATTTACAATATAATATGAAAGAACCCTCACCGAGTGTATGGCACTGTGCCCGTTACCGTCACAACGTCAGGAACTATGTTTGCCACACCTGAACATAAACATATACAAATCCAATAATATATAACATCTCTACATCTTTACATTATCAATCTACTGTACATAAAATATCTGTTCTAATAAGCCATCCCATCATACATACATTCATTCATACATGCAAAGTTTCCATGCATTAGTTTAAAGAAGTAGATGTACACATTAGGTTTACTCTACACAATAAGTTAGATAACATCCTCGTGGAATGCTGTCTAAGATTACCTGCAATACACTTACATATATAAAGTATTGCTAAGACCTGTTATGCTGCATGTAACAGATAGTTAATTTGATTAATATTTACCACATATAACATGATACATGCTTTAAAGGAAGCTAAGAAATAATGCATACACACTAAACATGAAAACATAAAAATACACAATCCAAATATAAATCCAACCTGTTATACAACCCATGCTGCCACTCTGACGTTAGGCTTTGTTGCGGGTATATTTGTTTACCCTCTTTGAATAGTCACTTAATGGTCATCCTTTGCCATCCTCTTCTCGACCGGGGGCCTCTGAAGATCCGGGGAGACATGGTGTTCGCCAGTTACCTGGGGTGGATTCCTCGCTTTGGCCTGGGGCTTGTTCCCAAGCGTACTTTTGTTTGATCTTCCATGGTAAGCCCGTCCAGATTCGGGAGCTTATTCTGCTTGACCACAGTGTCCGGTTGTCTGGTTATTTTTCCAGACTGTCCCGTATGTTATTAATGGAAGAGTTGCGGGAACACCCTCAGCGTTTTTAGAGAAGGGCAGCAACTCTGGGACATGGTTGACATTTTAACAGCTGTTCTCACTGCCGGAACTCCTGGAGTATCGAATGCCGTCTGGGAGTTTGAACTCGGCCTTAGTTCTAAGACCCCGGGCGGGAACTCATCCTAACGAGGATCTACACCTTCGCGGGGGACTGCCTGCTAGGTGTACACAACAGAGAAGATCACCACCACATGCTGCCCTCGAAATATCAAGATCAGTTGTATAGAAAATAGTATATTTGGCCAGTGAGTGCGTGAGGTATTACAACTGACACCAACACTTCACCAACAGCTTGAATGTCAGTTAACGTTTGGTTTTTAAACAAAATTATCACGAGCAATTCAACATCAGTTATTCCTGTAATAAAACACAGAATCGATGCATAAAAAAAAAAAATACAAGATAAAATTTATTATGTAGCCTATAATAATGCAGGGCCTCAATAGGCCAAAGAGACAATGCTGCAAAACTGTAAAATGCACATAATTTCAGAAAGGTACGATAACGGTTCTGTAATATAGATACATAAAATGATAAATATATTAAATAAAAATAATGACTTGTTTGAACTAGTTGAAATATGCTTATAACATTTGCGACCATAAAACATAATAAATACAATAAAATTGATGTATTATGTAATATACACGCTGAATGCGCGGAGAAATGAAGAGCTGAGGGTTGTAAAACATCGTTTAAAGGATTAACCGATAAATCAGCTGTTTGATTATTTGGACAGCTGATTTGTCAAATTTGTTTACTAAAGCAGACTGAATACACCCAAATCTTTAAAAAACGTCGGCATTTATACCTACAGATAATCTCTCTTTACTTTACTGATTAACCGACGACAGGAGGAGGATGAAGGAGCAAGAATTAGCTCTGAAACGTCGTATAAAGAATAAAATGAAGTTGTTATTTATAAAAAACATGTCATGCATTCATGACGATAAAGTTGTTACTGGATTTCAGTGGCGCTTCATCTCTTCTGAAAACATGACACGAGACTAGTGATTAATTTCCCAGTAGTCAATCACTGATGTCATAGACCACTTAACATTCTTGCACTGGGTGTTTCGTCAACGCTTATCTTTTGCTTTTACATTTATATTTCATTAGTTCATACTCTTTTTGAAGAATATACTGGTATTTATTTTTTACTTTATCTATAAGTTACTGTAATAGCCTTTTATTTACTGACTAACTGAGTGTTTTGTCAGTTAATTTATTACAAACCCAAACAAACCAATTGATTTTCGTGGAGTGTGAGGGATACGTTGGCAAGTTAATCACTAAACAACAATAAAATTATTCATTGTGAACCAACTGTGTAGGTGAAATACGCGCATTTGAGGTATTTACATACATAGAATGACAAATCCCCAGACAGGTTCACTCTTTCAATATGAATCTTTGTTAGTTGGATACAACTGATCCATCAATATGAGTTGTGTTTGAAGACCATTCTTTTCACAGATGGTGATTCGTCCTTTTCATCAGTCAAACAACTTCGATGTGTCAAAGGCACAGTTGTCTGGAAGTAAATATCTAGTCCCTGAATAATTCTATTAATCATCATTTTGTTGTTGTGTCAAACTTCGAATGACTCAAGCATGTACGTAGATATGTTCATCATCGACATAACGGTGTTTGACTGCATATAATTTTTACAAAATTGAGGGTTTATGAACAGCTTTAAAAACATACACATTTCTTATTAACCATCATTTTGCGGTTGTTGAAAAACAAACATTTAAGGCGTTTTACAACACTTGATGTAGGTTGTTGATCCGGGTATGGGTGGATGTAATGTACACGGAATGGTGCTACCTTGTACGTCCTGAGTCGTATGTAATGGTACGATCAAATATACCAAAGTGTTGTTAAGTGCACTAAAGTGAGAACCCTTTCATTGGCATTCTAAGAAACCTAGCATAAATAAATGAAAACGCTGAAATGTTTTTCCTTGAACAATGCCAATTGTACTTCCTAAATATAAATCCGGACGCTTCTGGTGCGATGTAATGATGCCTTGACCATGGGCTGTGAAAGCTAAATAGATGGGAGATCACTCAAGGCAATAAGCGTCATCCCATTAAGTGTAATCTATATAATGTCAAAGATTCCCACAACTATTTCATGCATAAAAGTTGATACTTTCAAGTCCAAATGATTCTGAACAACATGAATTATGAACATTCTTGACAAATTTGCTAAAGTAACAACCCACTGATGTTTCCACAGTCACGCACTATTGAATCTGCTTCTGAAGATAGTCGAAAGCGCAAGTCGATAGCTATGGCGCTGGCGTTATATATTTAAGGCATTTTATTGGTTGGGACACTGGCATTTTTAAATAAATGTTTTTGGATAAAACTACAAATAGGTTGTGACTGTTACAGTCCAACATGCTCCATGCCACATAAAATTTGCAGCTGATGGAATGTACCCCAAGCCGCAAACGCAATGCCTTATAGAAAGTGGTCAAATGTTACAAATAATATATTACGGATAAGTATTCTTGGTAAAGTTCAGACTCTTACTACTTCCTGTCCCTTTCTAAACGTCATCCTTATTTCATTGCTTTCGTCCATGTAGACATTGACAACTTAAACTTGTGAGAGGGGTATAAACATTTTCTAGAAGCCTCCGTGGTTGAATGGTTTAGTGTGCTTGTGATATGATGCCTCATTCCGACAGTGGGGTAAAATCCCAGATGGGACTCAGCCGAAAAGTTTTGTTATATTTTGTTTGTTGTTTAACGCGTGCTTAGCATTGTTCTGGTTATATGGTTGTAAACAATGGAGCCTGGATCAGACAATCCAGTGATCAACAGCATAAGCATCGATCTACGCAGTTTGGATACAATGACATTTGTCAACCAAGTCAGCGAGCCTGACCACCCAATCCCGTTAGATGCCTCCTACGACAAGCATGGATTGCTTAAGACCCATTTTAACCTGGATCGTCACTGGTTCCCAAACTACTACTAGAACTTGTACTTTAACTCATGTGTAATCCCAAATATGTCATTGGTTGCATTGCCCAGACGGCGTAAAAACTAAACTAGTCAACTCCATGGGTGGATGAAAGGCAGGATCCGCTGTATGTTGTTTACATCCGATGTTCGTGCCGAACCGAGCTGTGCTTGTTGTGCTAGTTGTGCTAGTTGTGCTAGTACTTTACTCACGTACTATAAATCACATAGTGATCACAAGTTTATAAAGATCTCCACCAAACCAACAAGAGACCACCGAATAATCTCTAGGTAGACTTCATCTACAGTTTGACTTTATCGCCCAGTGGATCTTATCTCTAAGTGGAATTTGCTTCCATGTGGACCTTATCCCAAATGGACTTCATATCTCAGATGACTTTATACCTGAGTGGACTTTACCTCCGAGTGCACGTTATGCCAAGTGGACTTTATCCCCAATTCTAAGATGCCTAGCGGTTAGAACAATCGAAAAACGTAACAATTGAATGACGTTATCCCGTCACTGCGCCATTCTAGGTGTGCCCCTCGTAATCGAACCATTTTACATTACGTCACAATGTAAGCGACGTCACGATGCATGTCAGTTGTCATCGCCTCGTACGGCCTCCTACAGTAAACTACACCGTTGCATCAATAACGTTGCAGTTGCTTCACGCAGCTAACACTGGTGGAAACATTACGTTTATGTTTTACGACGGTTAAAATGTGTCAATTGAACTCATAAGTTTTCAGCGACGCGGTAACGTTCGCAATGTTTACATTCCCACAATGCAATCGTAGAATGTCGCTTGACTACTCAGCTTCATCTGGATGTACTGATCTAAACTTACGTTTGTAGTAGAAATGCGACGTTCATATTGCCCCATATGGTTTACGTTAATGACAGATGTAATTAAAATAATGCAGGAAGATATTTAATCCGAACGTAAACCGTCATCAAACTGTTATCATTTGGTTTTTCTGGTAACGTTCGTCTTAAAGGTCACATGCAACCAAAAATCAAACATAATTAAAAACACAATTATCACTTATTCATGACATATAATATACATTGTTGGTTATGAAAAACATATAAACAAAATTATAAGCGTACAATCGCAAATCAAAAGTGCAATATTGTGTACTTGGGTTTACTTCCCAAGAAACGAAGCAGCTGGGATACCGAACCCAGTCAGAGTGGGTGGGTGTGCACTCAAGTGTAACGGCTTGTTCATTTGCCGATGCCCCCACGGCTCATAGTGTGTGTATATATATAGAGATGTTGGGTTTTGTAAATACATGCTCATTTTTTGTGTATAACATTTTGCCATCAACAGACATCATAACATGTCATGTATTCAAGTATCACACCTGCCTGTCTGTGTAATTACATAATGTGACAGAGACCGAACTCGGGCCATAAATCAATGCGTTTTGTTTATGGTGTATAGCCTGATTGGTGTTAAGTTCAAATTGCATGTGGTCAGTGATCGCAGTTGTGTATTGAATATTGTCATTAGCAGACAGGCAGGCAGACACACAGGTGTCAATAAAACAAGACATTGAGTTTTGTCTGTGACAACGACATATCTATATCACAGTTAGAAATTGTGTCAACGCTAAATAATGAGATTGCTTTTAAGTATCGAACTGAGAAAGTGACTCGGTAAGAAGAACGTGTGGTGAAATAGACAAATGAAATTATATAAACAGTTTATTTACTGTCATAACATATAAAAAGCTCGCGCCTGTGAGATATCAACAAAACATTATGAAAATAGCTCACACCAAAGCCTTCACCGAGGGTGTCCT